CTGATCTAACTCTGAAATCAGCGATGGCAGGAGACTCTGAGGAGGTAGAAGAAATGCTTTACAGGTGATCTCAAAGCATCCCTAAAGAAATCAAACATATCCCCTGAATCATGGCAATGCCTGGCTCATGAATGGCCAAAAGATTCATTGAAAAAGCACCAAACATTTTGCAAGACTGCACTGGGAGCGTTTAGAGGCAAGGACCAAGTTATCAGAGGGAATGCACGAACCTCTACACAACCCATCCAGCTGAGCTTTCGAACACCATCTGTGTTGCATGTGGGCAAGACTATGGATCACACACTTGACTTAGCAGCCATCTCTGAACCTATTGAGCTGGAGTGGAAGCAAGTCACCTCCAGTTCCAAGGGACTGCCTGAGGAAGAAGAGATAAACCATAAGACATAAGAGCAGAAATAGGCCATTCAGTCCATTGAGTTTGCTTCGCCATTCAATGAGATCATGGCTGACCTGATAAACCACGACTTTGTTTTCCTGCCCTTCCCTACAACCCTTGATTCCCTTATTGGTTAAAAAAAACTCTTTCAGCCTTGAATATAATTAAATCACAGCCTCCAATATACTTAAATCACAGCCACGACAGAATTCTATAGATTTGCAACCCTCTGAGAGAAGAAATTCCTCCTCATCTCTGTCTTAAATGTATTACCCCTTTTTCTGAGATTATGCCCTCTAGTGCCAGACTCTCCTACACAGGGATAGTGGGACTTGAACTTCGACATAGTAACACTACCCCTGCACCACAAGAATTTCTAGGTCACTTCAAAAATATCTCTTAAATGAATGTTTATTAATCTATTAATTTACGGGAGTCATTGACTGGGCCACCATTTATTGCCCATCCTTAGTTGTCCTTGAGAAGCTGGTGGTGAGCTTCCTTCTTGAAGAACTGCAGTCTGGGTGCTGTACGTTGGCCCACAATGCCCTTAGGGAGGCAATTCCAGGATTTTGACACAGCAATAGTGAAGAAACAACAATATATTTCTAAATCAGAATAGTACTAGGCTGGTAGGGGAACTTGCAGGAAGTGGTGTTCCCATGTATCTGCTGCCCTTGTCCCTCTGGGTGCAGATGGTCCTGGGTTTTGAAGGTGCAACCTAGCGATCTTTGGCAAATTGATAAACTACTAACTCCTAACCGTATTTTATTTTAATGAGCTCTGTTGCAAGGAATCTTACTGCTTTGGAACACAATGTAGAATAAGTTATAAAACATGTGCTTGGTTGTTTTTGTTTTCAGGGGTATTAGTAGTCCATCCCTGAGATGTGAATTGAACAGCAATGGGGTTTTTATTTTGCTCCTTGCCTTAAACACCAGTAATGTGGAGTTTCATATATATTTGAGTGACGTGGGGAAACTAGGTCAAGTGGAGATCGAGAAGTTGTCATTAACATATACCAGAATGTAAACAGTGATATCCTGGAAATATAAAATACAACTATTTCGGCCAAACTGCGCTCAAGTGTCTGCAATACCGAAGAGTATCTCTTACGCCAAACTTGTCTAAAACTCAGCTTGCGTTTCCATTGATCACAAGTGAGGACTAATTTGATCTGCTATCACATTCGCAATAATTATTGTCATCTTTCATCGTGCAGCGTTATTTCAACTTTGAATTGAAAGGAAAACGTAAAAATCAAACCCACATTTAACAATTTTAAGAGAAAAACGATCTCGACTTTAATATTTCTTTGAACAGTAATAATTGGAACCCAAGAGATCTGTCAGTCTGATTTCACAGATCCCCAATGCTTTCAGAGTCTCCAGCGCTGTCTCCAGTTTAACGAATGAATAATTAATTTGGAGAATTGTCTAATGATTTTTTTTTGAAGCGACACTCTGACACGGCAGCATTACTAGTTCGAGCGACTCTGAGGGTTGATGCAAAACAGATACTCAACTGGCGCCTGAGCGTTATTACCTACAATTAAAATAATTGTTGCCTATCCAGTTCCTGCATTCCCCCGAGGCAGAGCGGAGCCCCGCTCGCCTTTCTTCACATCATTGTCCGGCTATCTCTCCCTCTCTCTCTGCATCAGCCACCACACAGTCCTCGCTACCCCAGCCAGTGCACAAGGTATTGCTTAGATCGTCTTCCTGACAGTCGGTAGTGAAGATTTGAATGTTAAACAGAGTCAAGGGATTCAGGAAGGATGATCCTTTTTTTGGATGGGATTCTCACTTTTATCTTCTGCATGTGGCAATGGGGAAGTTTGTTAGTCATTTCAATTACTCATAGCCTGTTCTTGTGTATTAATATTAAATATATACACGTTCCAATTCCTCTTTCTTGGATATCTGAAGAATTCAATTTTCTTCAACTGAGATTCAGTAGTTTTTGCACACATTATCTATCGGAGTCGGCACCTCTCAGATTCTCTACAACTGAACTACAGAAATAGAAATAATTAAAAAGGTTAACTTGCTATATTGATAATAGGCAGAGTTTTCAGTAACATTCCAAATTACTCTCTAATAGGTGCCGAGTTGAAATCTTACAATCATTGCTGCTACCTTACAACACATCTAAATCCTTTAAATAAAATGAAACACTGCAGATGCTGAAGATCTGAAACGAACACGGAAATTGCTGGAGAAATTCAGCAGGTCCGACATTTTCCACAAACGCTGTTAGAACTCCTGAGTTTCTCCAGCAATTTCTGTTTTTGCTTCTATTGTCTGCAAAGCGCTTTGGGGTTGTCCGGTGGTCGTGAAAGCGCTATATAAATGCAAATGTATCACCTTTACACAATTCTTAAACACCTGAATTCCCTCTGGCCTTCCCACATTAACATTCCTATAGTCTTCCTCGGATGATTATAGCAGGATTCGGTGAATTTCTGGGCTCTCCATGGATTTAAACGTACGCGTCTTTTCGCTGGGAACTGGTTGCATGTATTGTGACACACTGCGTGTTTACCGAGGTGAAGGTGGGGAGGATGCCAGTATATTTTCTGAAGGGATTCTGAGGCACAGGTTCTGAAGAAATTACAACTGTGGTCGAAGCTCTGAGCCCTGGGAACTACCGGCAAAGCCAAGCCACAGAGTCAGCAATAATAACACATTGTAAGGTTTCAGGCGCCTGAGTTCTTGTTTTTTCTCTCTCTCTCAGATTGAAGTAGCAATTGTGGGCGTCTTTTTTTGTGTAAAAAATACTTGTTGCGAGCTGGCTAAATGTCACACACATTGGTCCGATACTGAGCTGTGGTTCAAAGTGAAGATGTCAATGCGATATGGTCGAAGGGCGCTCAGTCTTTTGATGCTCTCAGACGCTGGACCAACAAAGTAATTAACATATCACCGACAGTATTGCATCGGTTTGATACTGATCACAATCGACGGTGTTTGCATCGCATTGTTCTGGGGCTGATAATTGACTGTCAGTTACCCTCTTTGTCGTCTCTGTGGCGCCGGGTGCCTTTTGATTGTTAATTTAACTTAACTGTCTGCGGCCCCTCTCCTCCCTTACACACAGACACAGTGCCTCTCAGGCCTCAACTCTCATCTCTCACATACAGCTCTGGGATATTGGCTAAAGGAACCATTTGTGCACTCATCCCACTGTGCCCACTCAAACGGCACTACAACAGTGCCCTAACCGATTTAAGTGACTGACCCTTGTGCCCCGGTTAAATTTCACTGTGGAAATGTAAGGTGTCAGTCTTTTGCGTGGATTTTAAATCACATTAGCAAATTAGTAAAGGGCAGCGTTTTCAGAACAGAAACTGGATCATTGCTTAAAGCGAGTCCGAGACGTTGTTTTCCGAAGACAGACAAACTTGTTATTGAAATACAAACCAATGTTACCAGAAAGGTCGACTCCGTCATAGTTTCACCTCAAAACTGTAAATCATATAGATTATTTCCTTTCTGAAATGAGGGGCATAGATAAAGTGAATAGCAAAGGTGAGGGAGTTCAAAGCAAGACGGCATAATTTTAAGGTGAGAGGAGATAGATATAAGAGGGACCTGAGGGGCAACTTTTTCACACAGATAATGGTTCGTATATGGAATGAACTCCAGAGGAAGCAGTAGATGCAGGTACAGTTACAATATTCAAAAGACATTTGGACAGGTAAATGAATAGAGATAACACAGTGTGGAGCTGGAGGAACACAACAGGCCAGGCAGCATCAGAGGGGCAGGAAAGCTGACGTTTCGGGACGGGACCCTTCTTCAGAAAATAGAAATTCTCCAGCTCAATACTGTGTTGTCTCTGACTCCAGCATCTGCAGTTCTTGCTATCTCCAGGTAAGTATCTCTAGGAAAGGTTTAGAGGGATATGGGCCAAATGGGACTAGTTTAGTTTGGAAACATGGTGGGCATGGTTGAGTTGGACCGAAGGGTCTGTTTCCGTGCTGTATGACTCTATCTGTGTGAAGTGTAATACAGATTAAGTACACTGGTGTTCTCTACTTCAGTTTAACACGAAGGCTCTTAGTTAACCGGCCATATAAAATGAACAACGCTGAATCCAAATTAAGTTTCTATTACTATAACTCCCTGCTGACATACAAGGGTAACCTTTATATTTCCAACTCTTCCTGCTTTAAACCGATGGAAAAGTTTTATTCTGCGAGGTTATCTTCTCCTACATTCAGAAAGGTTTCCTTCTGGCATAGGTGATAGGGTCGGTTAGGCATGGGAGGATCAAATGCGTGTGCCGCTGCTTTTTAACCTTGGAAAATTCCCAAACGGGCATATCCTCAAGTATGAATGAACCTGGGGATGTGAATGATAGGCCCGGACATCCAGTGAGCAGTCTGGAAGGGGCGGGTTGAGGGGGAGGAGTGTGTCTCTCCGTCCGCCCGCTTCCCCGCGGCGCTGTGCTGTCAATCCGGGGTCGGGCTCCAGTTTATGGGCGGGGAGGAACAGGGAGGGCTCCCGGGACTGGTTGGTTCTTGGCACGGAGGAAGGGCGGGGAGACGGGCAGGGAAAGAAAGGAGGGCGGGCTGGCTGTTGTCACTCAGGACACTGAGTTAAAGCAGGAGCCGGAGCAGGCTGGAAGCTGCACTTCACTCACTTGTTGTAGCCGTTTAGAGAGAAAGGCAGCGAGAGTCGGCGGCTAGCGCCGCTGGAGGAGAAACGCTGCTGTTTGCACATGGAGCTTGTGCCCTGAAGGACAGTTACAGTCAGGGAGGGCCAGGGCTTCCCCCCCGCCACACCACCCACCCCATCCGAGATCGGTGTGTGTGTGGCTCAACGGGGACATCGCTCTGGAAGGTCGCGTCCAATAACTTGTTCATTTTGTTTTGCAAGAAACTGGTGCAAATTAAATGGATCGCCATCCGAATCTCATCTGGGGGATTTGGCTGCAGTTGGAGCTGTGTGCGATGGCCATCCTCCTGACGGAAGGTGAGGGGGGGGGGCTTTTTCTGAGGTTGTGGGAGTGGGGGCGAGAGGGCAGAGCAGCCCCTCGGGGGTGGGGGCCCCTGCGCGGCTAACAGAGGCGAGCCCCCTTCTCTCTCCTGTACACCATCTGCGGCCCTTTTTTGTTACTTACCCAATTAAAGTCTTTTGTTCCTCACGAATCTGATGCGTTCGCCCAGTGCTGTGTAAATGCACCCAATCTGACTTGTATGCCCCTTCACCACATTAATTTGATTGCCATCCCGGCGGAGTCGAAGAATCCACCCCCCGCTTTGCTGCAAGTGGCAGTTCCTTGTTCTCCATTGATGTAAATGGACCTGAGGGGCAAGCGGTTGTCAAAATGTTTTTGTTAGCTGCCCTTAATGAATTTCTCAACTCTTTCAGGAGAAAGCGACCCGTTCCAGCTTAAAAGGTTACAGTGTATGTAGCCCCAAGCGCATTTTTTTTCCACAAAGGGCATGAACTCTTTTAAAACATTTTTTGAGGGGGCTGTCTGTTCATCTCTCGGGCGGGGGGTAGTGAGCGGAAAACGGTTTATGTTCCATCAACAGTTTAATTTTTAAATCAGCTGGAAATCCGTTTGGGACTCTAGATGAAGCATTCAGGGTAAATGGTTGGAGATCGTCTGTCTTCTGCCTGTACAGCGGTGATGCCAGTTACAAGAGAGTTGACATGTTTTTGTAGTCTCTTTTTTTGTATAAAAAGTCTGTTTGGAGAGAGATATGTCATCTATTCTCTTGATGTCTGTTTGTAAGTGATCTCCTGCGCTCGCTAATCGGCGCTGGAGGTTAGGATGAACAGCTAATTGTTACTTTTTTTAAAATTTATTTTGCTACAAACGTATAATTAAACCCAAAATAAGAGCCTTGTCGTCAGCAGCTGGGCTCTTCCTGTGGCTGCATCAAAGGCAAGAGGCTGGGAATGAGCCATACTGATGGGAAGTCACCGATACCGAAACTATGTGGCTGATAATGATATAATTAGAGGATCACAGACTGCTCTCCTGCCAGTTTACATCAAAAGCTGAGCTTTAAAAGTCTGCAGTGTCTCCTGTAGCCATTTTGGCGGAGTACGGGCTCGTAAAACCAAGGATGGAGAATGTATGTCTGCTTGAACTAGCTTTCTCCTTTTTTTTTGGCTCAGGGTTAAAAGACCCTAAGTTTTCGGCGCAGTGAAGATTTGCAAACTCTGGTCTGTAGTTCTGACATCCAGGGGGAGTTTGAACTGGGAATCACAGCAGATGTAACGAAATTAGTCATTTTACACAGTCAATCCTTTACCTTCCATTAGTCCTGAGTCATTAAGGGCAGCGAGTTACCATTCGGGGTTTGTTAGCATTGAGAGCTGAGCTTAGGTGGTTGAAACCTGATCTCTGACAGGCCAATATGGCAAGGCTCTCTGAGTCCTGCTGCATACAAAAAGGGCTTATGAGCTTCCCCCCCACCCCCAGCAGTTTTTCAGTAGCGGAAGCTATTAATGTTTTTAAAAGGAAGATAGATACACGTGCAATTTTTTTAGGCTTGTTTGTGGTCGGAGAGAGGCTCCTGCCAAGACTTTTTTTTTGAATAAAAGAGATGTATTGTTGAGAAATCTCTTGATTTCTAACACGGCAGATTATTAAGCCGCGCCCCCCACCCCCCCAACCCATCCTCAGCCACTCTAGTACGTTACACAGCCCGAGACGGCTGCTTGTAAGATGTTCACTTTAAAAAAATTACCAGTTCCATTTGGTTTGAAAGAAATTGTCTTTTTGGCAAACAAACCACTAATTATAAGCTTCATGGTTGCTGCCTGAAAGGCATTTATTTGCACGGAACGGTCTGAAAAGAAAGGCCTTTTGTATATTTCTATACCTGCTTCATTGCCAGTTTATAAATAACTTGTTTGAAAGAGCAGAACCCTTTTATTTACGAAGCGCTTTTCCAGTGCCGTTTCTCTTTTGTTTTAGTCTAAAGGGCCGGGGTGTTGTTGTTTCGAAGGACCTGCCGTTTCACTGCAGTTTCCTGATCAGCAAAATTCAGCCCAGTTTTGCCAGTATTCGAGTTTATTGCGTATTCTGTGTAGACTGTGGTTGGAGGAACGCGGTTTAATAACTAAGTATGCGGGGATGCTTGGAGACATTGCTTAGGGAGCTGGAAGGTCTAAACTAGTAATTATCAACTTTCCTGTGCGTACAAATCAAGAGTACACATCAGCAATTGAGAATCAGTTTATTTGCAGTACAGAAGATTAATGACTCATTTTTCTGAGTTATGGCTGGCCAAGTCTGGTCACAAATTAACTTTCTCTTTTCTTGTGAACTTTAGGTGAAATCAGATGCTACTGTGATGCATCTAACTGTGTGGCAACGGGTTACATGTGCAAATCAGAACTGTCAGCATGTTTTTCAAGGCTGCTGGACCCCCAGAATACGAACTCTCCTTTAACCCATGGGTGTTTAGACACTATTTCAAATTCAGCAAGCATCTGCCATGCGAAAAGATCTCAGAATCACACAGGGACCTGGCCAATGCTGGAGTGCTGTCACGAGGACATGTGCAATTATAGAGGACTCCAAGACGTTCTTTCACATCCTGGGAGTGAAACCTCTGGTAAGACTTTTCTCTGCGGAACTTCAGCCAGATCTATAAGGCGATGACAGCCAAGGGTTTTGGATAGCTGGTATTGATTTTGCTAATGTAATTAGAGACACAGCGAGGGAATGGCAAGATGCGAGTTGGATCTTTAGCAGTAAGATACTATGTCTCTGTGAATATTTTGAGGACTAGTAAAAAGGTTTTGCTTGTTAATTTTTTTTTGTTTTCCTGGGGCAGCAAATTAGATTAAAGCAAAATGGTTTCTTGGAGTTTAGTGAGTCTCAATGCTATCCTTTTTCCTTGTTTTGATCTGTTTGCGATTAAAACTTTGGAAGTGGTAGGAGTATGAGTGTGTACATCTAACTGCCTAATGGACTGTGGTTTAGATTTATATTTAAGTAGAAAGGATTTAATTTTTGAAATATTTTATAGAATAACTTAGAAACATGGTACTCCACTTGGACAATCTTGTAACCTTTTGAACTTGTGCGAATAAAGAGCTATATGTGAATCATCCAAATGGGGATTGTATCGAGGATAATGCAATAGCCAGTTGCTTGTTGTGTACTGATTCTGCTCACTCTCTTCTATTTTTTTTCCATTTCTTCTTCCCCGTTTCTTAGATCAGGGAACTCGGTACCATCAAGACTCCAGTAAGAACCTGATCACCAGGGTTCAAGAATTCACTTCCTCGAAGGAGCTGTGGTTCAGAGCTGCAGTTATTGCTGTGCCCATTGCTGGTGGCCTCATTTTAGTTTTGCTGATCATGCTGGCTTTGCGGATGCTTCGCAGTGAAAACAAAAGACTTCAGGACCAACGGCGGCAGATGTTGTCTCGTTTGCATTACAGTTTCCATGGGCACAACTCCAAAAAGGGGCAGGTGGCTAAGTTAGATTTGGAGTGTATGGTACCTGTGACTGGCCATGAGAACTGCTGCATGACCTGCGATAAAATCAGGCACTCCGAGCTCGGTAATGACAAGTTTCTGTCTCTCGTTCACTGGGGGATGTACAGCGGACATGGGAAGTTGGAGTTTGTATGACCCCGAGTTTAATCTCGAACTACTCGTGGTTCTATTCTGCTGGACAAGTGCACTTTATGTGAAAGACAATCATGGACTTACTGAGTACAGTAATTTTAAAGAAGACTTAAGGTTGAACAAGGGACCTGATTTTAATATATTCTACACATAGAGTCCTTGCCTCTGTGAAGGTTTCCAAAATTTCTCATTTGCACACTTTGTATAAGGATGAATTCTCTACACTTGTTTCTAGAAACATTTCACCTAACTCGGGGAGAGGGGGAACAAAAGGAAAAAAAATTGATTTTTTTTTGAACTAGCAGAAATGGAGATAACTGATGTATGTATATTTGTGTCCACTCCTGCTCTTTATATGTTTCCTGTTCCGATTTATTGTAAAAATCTGAAAATATATTTTTTCTCTAATTCTGATCAGATATCCTGGTTTTATTGCAAATTGCCATTGCGATTCAATGCATTTCTGGGTGAACAAACTCAAATATTTCTTTGACATTGCAGTATTTCCCTTTTAAATGAACAGAGGTCACAGCGTAAGGCGTTAGTGATTATATTGTGCTTTCCTTAGCTGTACTTGGTTGCATCTACTCTTTTTTTTGGTTATAATGACAGGAAATGAATTATTTTTCCTTATGGCTCATCCCCTATGTTTGCCTTTCTGTAATGATGGGATAATGGGAAAAGTAGGTCATTTTCTTATTTGCAGTCCTACCCCTCCCTGGCCCGAAACCAGGCATTTGCCTATTTGACACTTTTTTAACAATTAGTTGAATATGAAACCATTGAGTAACCAATCTTGTATAAGTTGAGCTTACCCAGAACCCAGTGGGACAACACCGTTACATTTCTCATAAAATACATGCTGATTACCTGTGCTTGTAGCTGTTTTCCAGTGGAACTCGCACAATGTTCGTGCTAAGTTAATTTCACAAATAAGATGTAATGTAGCAACGTTAATCAACACTCACACATGCAGAGAAAGGTCCAGGGGTTTACTTAATATCATTGTAGAATGAATCAGGCTGATTCTTTATGGTCACCAGTCCATCTCGAAACTAAAATCTTACTAATGAGTTTGAACAGAGCTAACCCTGTTCATAGTTAAGATGCTGTTACTTCCTTTTCCCTGCCACTGTCTTCTGTATGGTTTCACCAAATTGTCCAGTGCTTCGCTAGTATCTTAGTAGTTATGAGAATTCAATCAAATTTACAGGGTATCAAGTTGTACATTTTATTTGAAGATACACTTTTGCAGTAAAAGCAGACTTCCTTTTTTAAAAGAAAAACTTTGGTTGGTGAAAATTTGAATATTCAATAAAACAAGGTTTTGATATACAGTTGTTAGGCGGATTGAATAATTTAGATTAACCCTTGAAGATTGGCAAGTTACAATGTGAGCGTATCCAGATTTTTGTATACAGGTTATGTGGCTTGTTTTAAATGAGCTGTAAAATGTTTCTGGTTTAAGTAGGCTTAGGTGGATTAGACAGTGAATGAAAAAAATTGGTTTTCCTATAGACATTTTATAAGTAACATTTTCATTTAATGAGGTTTGATTTATAAATAGGGCAACAGTCCTTGATAATAGAAAGTTTGCCATAACCCACCATTGCATTCCTCCCCACCCTCTTTCCGGCTGTGTTCAGTCTTGCAAGTGATGTGGTAACAGCCATATAGGTTATAAAGTGGCCAATTTCAATGCTTTGACAACTAAAATTTGATTGAAAATTGGTTAAGGGATGGGACGCAAGGAATAGAGATGAATGGGGCATTTTCAAGTAGGCAGGTTGTGACTAGTGGAGTGCTGCCAGGATCAATGCAGGTATTTACAATCCATATTGATGTCTCAAAGACCAGGAATTGTGTGTCCTAAGTATGAATGATGGAAAGCTGGATGGGACTGCAAGCTATGAGGAAGATATTGGCAGCAAGAAGTTTATGGATTAATTTCAAGTCAGTGGGCAACAAGGTAGAACCTAAAAGATAAAATGGGTAACCAGTATGCACTTGGGAATTTTAAAACCTTTTTTAAAAGGTGCATAAATGTTCATGCTCAAAGTGACTTTGGTGTACTCATACAAGGTACAATATTTGCATGTAGGTACAGCAAGCAATTACGAAGTCAAATGGCACATTGGCCTTTATTGCAAGGGTATTGCAGTACAAGCATAAGGAAGTCTTGCTATTATTATACAAGACATCGTGAGATGCATTGTCCAAAGTTTTTGACTCCATATTTAACAAAAGACATACTTCCATTGGAAGTTGCACATTTGTGCTCTGCTGGATTGATTCTGGGATGAGAGCATTCTCCTATGATGACAGACAGAATAATTTGGATCTTTTTGTTCTCTGGACTTTAGAAAAATGAGAGATGATCTTTGTGAAATATTTAAACTCCTGCAAAATCTTGTCAGGCTGCACACTGAGATTGTTTCCCCTGACTGGGAATCAAGAACACCAGGGGCACATTCTCCACATAGGAGCCAATAAGTAAAAGATTTGTGAATCTTTGGAACTCTCCACCTCAGAGGGTGTGGATGCTCCAACAACAAATACACTTGAATTGTAAGAGATTTCTGGTATCTCGGGGAGTTACAGAATACAGAAGTCAGGGTGGGGCAAGTGGAGTTGGAAGTCTGTGATCAATAATTGTACTGAATGTCTGATCCAGCTCAAAGATCGATATAACCTATTTCTGTTTCTATTTATTGTTATGTTAAAGTTATTCTTTGTAAGCAAATATATTGGCATGTAAAGGACTAGAAATGTTTAATGTCTTCATAACCTTGCATGTTAGAGGAACGTCTATCAATGATGATTTTAGGTTACCTTTAACTTGTCCCAGTCTGAAAAATAACTCTTCTATGATACTTGGTAAGGTGTGTATCCAAATCCCATTGATTCTCTGGGACAGATTCAGTTTAAGCATGAAGTAGCCCATTTCAAGTGTGTCATGACAGGAAGGACACCCTATATTTGTGATCTCCTTCAGCCTAATTACATTCTGAAACCTGTGCTTTTCCTAATCTGGCCTCTTATATATCCCCCAATTTTAATTGCTCCATCATAGGTCATGTCCTTTGCACCAGTATTCCTTCCTGAACCTGCTAGCTTTCTACTGCTTCTAAAATGCTCCTTGCAGCCATTTATTTTTGACAAAGTCTTTGGTCGTACCTACTTATCTGTCTCTGGCTCAACTTTTGTTTCATTAAAATGGTGCAGTATTTTGCACACTTGTGTTACAGGTACTATATCACTATACATGATCAATAATTCCAAACTTTTTAAAGAAAAATAACATTAGTGAAGCATTGCTGCTACTTCTAAAGTAACAGAACATTTGTCATGCGAAGCTAGCAGCTATTGCTTTGGCGGTGAATAGACCAACTTCAAATTTGCTTTATAATTGATTTACATTGAAATAAATACTAGGAAATAAGTTTTTTCCAGGCTTTGCAATGGTTTTGTAGATGTTACTAAGTTGGAAGTACTTTATGAAAAATACTAATTCTCAGTATGTATGAGTCAAGAGTTGCGTATATTTGGTTAATTAGGCCTTGCCCTTAGCTGATATTAAAACCTAGAGGTAACTAGTTAAACACTAGAGTCCAATTTTCCTCTTGTCCAAGGATTTTGAAAGTAATTGCAGAACCAGCCTAAGATCTGTTGTGTCATCAGAAAATGGCAATTGCCATAGGGATCTTTATAGTGTGGAGCAGTACCATTATTACTTGGTATGTTTCTATGGAATCATTCAAAGTTTATCTCCATATCGTGGTACCTTGCTACATGGTAGTAATAACTGACAATAACTTTTTCAATTTAAGTAACTAGTGACTCCTATTAATGGCAGGTTACTGCTTGAGATCAGATTAGAAGAATGGGAAAGCGATCTTCAAGTTCATGGGAACAACTTTAGCATTAAAAACCAAGATGTTTGCCCAACTTGCGTATGTTTGTTTCACATGATCTTTCATCCCCATCTCTCTTTAACTTACCAATGTTGGCATGGACCATGATGTACTCTACAGTCAGGGCCTTTGTGGTATGCTGGTAGTGTAACTACCTCTGAGCCAAGAGATCTGGGTCCAATTCTCCTGGATGTGTATCATGACAGGTCTGAACAGGTTACACTCTAAACTCAGGTCAGATTGCTTGAGTTAAGTGTTTTGTATGATGTTTTGATCTGATGTTTTTTATATTTCCATATTAGTCAACTAGCTTTCAGAAGCTGTGGCCTCTGTTCCTCTAAATCAGAATTTTTCATCTCGAAGAGCTGATGATCAATTAAGAATCTGGCAGCTCTTCAGCACCAGCAGTGCCACCGGGAGGGGTGGCCATCACTGGGAATGCAGCAGTGCTCAAAGCAGCAAACTGAGAACAGGCCTGGAGTCCACCAAGTCCACCGAGTTGCACAAATCCTGGTGATAGGGAGAGCCATCCATGACAGGAGGATAGTCGTCCTGTAGTTGGGCCTTCTGTAGGCTACAGAATTGGCAGTGATGAGCTCCCTAGTCCCATGGGGGATGCCACTATATTTTACTGGGCAGTTTCCCAGTTCAGGTACCAATGGCAAAAGGATGGCCAAGAGCACTGCACGCATTCACTTCCTGCTGCCTAAATTGATCCCATATCCTGACCTGCTGCAAAATAGGGGAAAAATTAAAGGTTTTGGGAAGAACTTGGAAAAAAAATGCAGACATGAAACATTCCAATCGGAACAAAGAGGTTACGCTCCAAAATTAGTTGCTCTCCTTTGGTGCTTTCAGACGAAGTACATGATTTGTTTGGAATATTGAGGTGCAGTGGCCACTGGATCAAATCGTTGAAATCCAGTGAACATCTTCAGATAGCCCATGACGGCCAGTTGAAATGAAAGCTGACGGAAGTTTCATTTTTATTTTCTAAATAGAATAATAAGATGCAGGAAAGGCATGGAACCCTGATGATCCCAATGCAGCACCAAATTCTTGACTTTCTCTCAGAACAAGATTTCCACCTCTGCCAACTCCTGAGTTTCAGTACCTACGGTTTGTGCAAAAGGTCTGAATAAAGAACTAGTTGGCTCCACCAACCTGAGATTATTGAGACTAACGTTAGTACCCTATCAATCACTGTGGCTGAGCAAAGCTCAGTTTAGGAGTCAAGCTTTATGAGCATTATTCAGATTTTATAATGAAAAACCATGCAAAGTGAAAACCAGTTTCCGGCAGTATTGTGACTCACTGCATGGCATGCTGTTTGTATCTGCTTAAATGCTAACTTTTATGGAATTATTAACATTTTCTCTGCTTTGAAGTTGAGAAGCAATTTACTGGAAATGGCCTGCTAATGAAAATTGAGTGTAAATAGGGCTTTTAGCTGTTGACCTGGCAACGACTGCTTGACAAATTCTCAGGGCATCGTTCCTC